AGAAATGATACAAATGAACATATTTACAAAACAGAAACAGACTCACAGACTTAGAGAACAAAGCTATGGTTACGGGGGGTAGGGGTGGGAAGGGTGGGGGTATGGGATAGCTAGGGAGTTAGGGACTGACATGTACACACTGCTATATTTAAAAAGGATAACCAACAAGGACCTACTGTATAGCACAGGGAACTCTGCTCAATGTTATGCGGCAGCCTGGATGGGAGGGGAGGCTGGGGGAGAAAGGATACATGTATATGTATGGCTGAGTCCCTTTGCTGTGCATCTGAAACTATCACAACATTGTTAATCGGCTATACTCCAATATAAAATAAAAAGTTAAAAAGAAAAAGGGATGTGTGTGGTTTTTAAGTCATTTGGTATGCAACAATAGATAACTAAAAGACCTTCTCAGTCTTAATTCTCTTTGATCTTTATTTTTCTTCATAATTTGGGCCAATCTCATCCCTGCCAGTGTCTCCTGCTCTCAGCTAGAAGCTGGTGGTTCCCAAACCTGTGTCTCCTGAGATCAGAACCCATAAATACGATCTAATGGCTGGATACTGTGCAGGCACCCCAAATTCAGAATGTTCAAATCTGCTCCTCCTTCTGAGTTTCTTGACTTTATATTTTCACCTCCCTTCATCCAGTTGTCGAATCCTGTGAGTCGTCTCACTCCCACCCACCAAATCCAATCAATCAGCAAGTCTAGCATTATATATATTTCTTAAAATTCTGGTTCTACATTTTGGAAATGAGATGAAAAAGTCAAGTGGTTGTCAGTCTATTGATATACAGGGATTTTTATATGCTTAGTTATTTTCCATTAAAATATAAGTAAAGAATTTTGGGCTTCCCTGGTGGCGCAGTGCTTGAGGGTCCGCCTGCCGTTGCAGGGGACGCGGGTTCGTGCCCCGTTTCGGGAGGATCCCGCATGCCGCGGAGCGGCTGGGCCCGTGAGCCGTGGCCGCTGGGCCTGCGCGTCCGGAGCCTGTGCTCCGCAAATGGGAGAGGCCACAACAGTGAGGGGCCCGCATAACGCAAGAAAAAAAAAAAAATATATATATAAGTAAAGAATTTAGATGGTGAATATAATCTGGCTCAAAAATTAATATCTATCAATCATAAATTTGAACTGTTCAACATAGCCCATATTTTTCAATGGGCTGTTCAACATAGCCCATTCAACTGGAGCAGTTGAATCAATAGTGGTTACACACTCCCCCCTGCTTCTCTAGCAGGGTTTTAGGAAGAAACAGGCCAGTAAAATACAGCCTGCTCACCCCTTGGTGGTGAGGGGCCAGTATCAACTATTTTTGCTCAGACGTACAGGATTGGTGCGGGGGCACTTGAAAAAGTGAGAGGCCTGCGTACCGCAAAGAAAGGTCCGAGTCTAGTCTTTTGGTTGGTATTATGCCTGTGCCATAAGGATGAGATCCTGAGACTCAGCCTTGCCCATCTGACTCTTTCAAGATGGAAAAGATGTGGACCCCCATAGCTGCCGCATGGTCTAGAAGGATCCCTTCACACGGCTTCTGCTGTAGGGCACACCATCGGGAGGCGAGTACGCAGGGACATCCAGCGGCCCCTCTTCAAGGCTTCAAGTCACAACCCTGTCCTGATGGTGCTCACATCTGTATCTCCAGCTCAGATCCCTTCCTGAGCTCTAAGCTCGTATATTATCTGCTGCAGGGACATCCCCATTTGGACATCCTAGAGGCTCTTTAAATCCAACATGTACCAAACTCGTCCTCAAACCACCCTATCCCCCTAAAGGTGTTCTTGACCTCAGCAGGCAATGAAATCATCTATCCAGTTTCCCAAGTCACAACAGAAGTGTAATGCTTAGCATCTCTTTCTCTTTCACCTTGACTTTCAATAAATGACCATGTTCTGTTGATTCAACTATCCGAATCTCTCCAATACAGGCCTTTCTTTCTCCTCACTACCTCTGTTCAGGTCGTCACCCTCCTGTGCACAGGAGTGTCCACAACCCTGCTAGACCAAACCATTCTTCATGCTGCTACCACAGGTATCTTTTTAGAGAACAAGTCTAGGTATTTTTCCCTCTTGCTGAAAAATCTTCAAAGGCTCTCTGTTCTCCACAGTTGAAAAGGTCAAACCCTATTCAGACCTTATGTGACTTGTCCCTGAATATCTCTCTTGCTCCTTCTCTCTCCACTCCACTCTCATGTTCTATGTCCCAGCCACACCGAAGCACTTTTATTACCTCCAATGTGCCATGCTTCCTTTCGTATTCAGGTCCTTGCCCTTGCACTTTCCTCAGCTCAACACTTTCTGCAGCCCCTGCCCTCTTCCTTTCACTTGACTAGTTCATGGTCTTAGTTCTGAGTTCCCTCCTCTGAAACTCTTTTCTTGCACCCCTCTCTCCCATTCCATCCCCCATAATGCTCCCACAGCATCTGTGCTTGCACATTGGAGGCAGTGACTACTTTTTACATTTAATTATCTGTTTATTTGTCATTCTCCCACTCTACCCTATAATCTCCTTAACCTGCTGGGGTGGTTTCCTGTTCACCCTTCTCACTGTGTTTGATACCGCGTAGGCACTCAATAGACATTCTAGGATGGCAATTTGCCATCTAGACTGCTCAGCTCAACATACGTGATAACTAGGCAGGCTCTAGGCATATCTATCCATTGTCACCCACTTTAGATGTGGCTCCACCACTGTTGCCCACTCTATCACCCACTCTCAGCATGTGAACAAATCTCTCAGGAATAACATAAGATTATGACACACCGATTTTCAGCTTTTTTTTTTTTTTTTTTTTTTTTTTTTTGA